TTTGCCCATGAGGATTTATTTTGATTAGTGTGATAGTGTCAATTATTTTTCCCTTAGAGATTCATATCCTGAAACGATAGCAAAAATTCATTTCATTCAATCACTTCATGTGATATAAAAACAAAATGTATGACTTGATGCATGATTTTAAAAAGCTTCAATTATCGATCACTGTCAGTGTCACTACCAAATTGTTACATTTGATTTATGAATCTTTGATAATGATCATCAACTATCTGAACAATATTAACTTCATTCTCTCTCACATGATACTTGTAACGTTTAGCCAGTATCACAAATACTATCAGTATGAAAATAACATCACTACACTTTCAATGCTACATTGAACTAAATCATAAAACTTCCAAATACTGGCATTATTAATGACTAGCTTGCTAGTAAAATTAGCACATTAAAGATGACTATCAGCAAATTCAGCAATCAAGCCACATGCATGTACGACATTTTTGTCTGTAACAGCTTTGTAGATTTCAGGACTTTAACAAATGTAGCAAAATATATCATAATCTTTAAAGGGGAATGAAGCTAAATAGGGTCTTGGTAAAAATTTTTAAAAAATTTAGAAATTTTAAAATTGCTTTGAATTTGGTGTACATGAGTTTTGAACAAAAATGGTTAAGGGAGACTTTTCAATTTTATTACATTTCTTGATACAAAATTGTGTGTACATGTACATGATAGCATTAAATGCGCTAGTAATTTTAATGATGTAGTTTACATAAAGCATAATCGAAACATGAGTACTAAGAGTTCGAAATATTTGCTATAGTGTATACAAAATAACAGGAAAATAATTTTAATACTGAACTGAATAATGAATGTCATCATTTTCATCCTTGTTGTATTGCTCCTCTTGTTCCATGTATCTCTGATAATGATCATCAAATATTTGAACAATATTAACTTCATTCTCTCTCACACGATACTTGTAATGTTTAGCCAGTATCACAAACACTATCAGTATGATAAGAATTAGTACCATCTTTGTTATATAATAACAGAAACTAGTACATATGTATTGACTCTCACAATTAAATGGAAACTTAAAAGTAATGTTAACAATATAGCTAATTCCAGAAGTGACATACCACAATCCAACCATCACTCCTCTCATGTGTACTGGAGACTGAGCTACTGTAAACTCCAGTGATACTGGATACATAAGAATATAAGAAAAGGCCTGTACAGTTTGTGAAATAAAAAGCAATTGGCTAATATTGTTTATGTCAGTATGAGACCTCTCAATGACAAATAAAATCACTTTAGAAACTGTAGCAATGAAAGCAAGGAAAATACCAACACTCATTCTAGTCAGCATACTGGGAATATATTTGTAGAAACAAACTCTGATAAAGAATAAATAAACTAACATTAGAATGACTGAACATAAAGAATATATGGAACCTGTTACAGCTAAGCAAGTTGGTAATGTAAAACTATGGACAGCAGACCAATAGGCATCATCACTGAGATAAATTGCACCAAAACCAATGAATAATGGTAGCATACGAAATACTGTCTTTACATCTTCTACCTCTTCCTCTGTAAATGGTCCACCATATTTATCCTTACCCAGGTCTAGTCTTGAAGGAGCCTCTTCCTCCCAGTAGGTCAGAGCACTACGATTCTCAGGATACTTGTGCTTCCTGGCATAACACAATACTCTAACTATCAGTTTGATAGGATTCTTGATGAGTGATATGTTCTCCAGTTTGTGTTTGAAGAATGAATGAGACACCAGTACAAGAGATACAGATACACCTGATGCTATGAAAGTGATCATGATATAATACTTACTACTATAAAATAAGCATTGAAGAAGGTTAAAGAGGAATAAAACAAGTGGTTCAGATAGTATATGCCAGTGTATGACATAATTCAGTTCATCAGCTGAAGCTCCAACAAGTTGATCAATGTTATACTGAATAATGTTAACAGTGAAACTTGAAAAACCAAAAAAATATAAAATATAAGTGAAACTAAAAAAACTCCAAGTAACTCCTTTAAAGGTAAAATAGATATCCACAATAAATCCAATTCCCATTACAATCCATGCTATTAAACACAATACTATACCAATCAGTATAGCTTTGTATCTTCCAATCCATACATCAGCTAACAGACCAAATAAAGGAAAAAAGATACTACCAAAGAAAAAGAAAATAACTAAACCATACTTATACCAAGTGGCAGGAGCAACTTCAATAACAAATCCAGCAGTGGATCGACTCAATAAGGTGTAATAGAAATACATGAGACAGTTCCATACTAGAACCAAGACTGCTGAAGGAGTAATATGAAGGAATGGTTGCCACTTATCAGCTAGCTGCTTAGCAAAGCTGGTTGCCATAATTACTAACACTGTAATGATGTAATTGAAAGTTGATTACTGAGTCTTTCTAGAAGCTTTATGGTTTATGATGTATTTGATTTGTTTTTAATGTCATAATTGAAAGCAAAAACATTACTTCACTTTCATTAAATTGCATTATAACAAATGCTATTGTAGTCCTAAGAGTGTACAAACTTATTATAAGTCCTTATTATTACATAATGCAAACACTACCAAATTGATCCCTTTGATTTATATACATGTTGTATCTCTGATAACTACAGGTATCTGAACAATATTACCTTCATTCTCTCTCACACGATACTTGTAACGTTTAGCCAGTATCACAAACACTATCAGTATGATAAGAACTAATACACTCTTTGTTATATACCGTACGGTTGGTAAATTTCGTGGGGTATTAATTTTACTACCTCTACCTACCTCTAGTATATGCCAGTGTGTGACATAATTCAGTTCATCAGCTGAAGTACCAACAAGCTGATCAATGTTATACTGAATAATGTTAGCAGAAAAACTAGAAAAACAAAAATAATATACAATATAAGCGAAGTGAAAAAACTCCATAGCACTGCTTCAGAGTGGGCAAAGTAACTTTCAACAAAAAAACCCAATTCCTATTATAATCCATGACACAAAACACAAAACTATACCAATCAGTATATATCTTTCAATTTATACATCAGCTAACAGACCAAATAAAGGAAAGCAGAAATATCCAAAGAAAAATATAATGACTAAACCATACTTATACCAAGTGGCAAGAGCAACTTGATCTATAAATCCACCAGTGAAATGACTCCCTAATATGTAATAAGAATTCATGAGACACTTGCATACTAGAACCAAGACTGCTGAAGGTGTAATATGAAAAGTGGTTGCCCCTTTTTAGCTAGCTGTGTTGCAAAAAATCAAAGCTACTATAATACACACAATCAAAAGTTGAATAGTTTTTATAGACGCATGTATAAAGTCAAAATAATTTACATTAATTACTACACATTGAAAATGAAAAGGTATACCATCTCTTCACTTCATTGAACTAAATTATAAACAAATGCTACATAATGAACAAAGGATTATAAAACATTGAACTGTCAATGTCACAAACAAACTGTTCTCTTTGATATGTGTATCTCAGATTAGTTGGAAGTTAATACACAAGGTAACTTTATGGCAAGTATATGAAAAATTATAAAAAATTCTCTTCCAGCCATTTTTGACAAAATTTGAATGGCTATAGCCTTTGGTCGTTTGCCCAATTTTTGAGCAATTTTAAAACTTATAATAATCCAAAATTAGTTGAAATCATCTCAAACTTTCTATGCAAAATAAAAACATGTATATGTATCATAAAAATATAAAGATAGAGAATTCTCTCCTTTTGTATTTTTTGCCGATATACCCAGTACTAATATACTACTAGGGTCATTGGATAATCCACCAACAAGAAGCTGCATAAGCACCATGCCAAAACCCTGTGAGATCACTTTTTATTCAAATTAGGTAATGTTCAGAGACAATGTCTCAAGATTGTTCAAATGTAATTTCAGGCCCTGGTATTTTATAGTGCTATCCACAATAACATCCGGTCAATATAAATGAAAAAACGAGACAAAATTAAATGTAGTTATGAAACTAAAAGTAATTAACACAAGTGAAGCAAAGTTTATAAGTAGTACCATTAGAAATCTAACTTTATTACTGCTGCTACAGCAAGACACATGATACTGACATCAGTGTATGAAGATTGCCAAAGGAGCAATATGAATCACTTTCTGTGTAGCGAAACAGGTCACCATGATTATCAACATTACATTCATGCATAATTCAAGTTCAAAGCACATCTAATTCAATGCTGATTATTTTGATTGACATGCATAATCAATGATGTATTTATTATGAAAAGAAAACATCACTTAACTTTCATTGAAATGCACTATAAACAAACTCTATAAAAAATTGATTTATGAAACATTGAAACTATTGGAGCATTAATCACTGGAGGAGTCACTGTCAATGCCACTCATAAACTGCTCCCTTTGATTTATATATCTCTGATAATAATCATCAACTATCTGAACAATATTAACTTCATTCTCTCTCACACGATACTTGTAATGTTTAGCCAGTATCACAAACACTATCAGTATGATAAGAACTAGTACACTCTTTGTTACATAATAAAAGAAACTGGTACATATGTAGTGACTCTCACAATCAAATGGAAACTTGACAATGATATTAATAAGTAGGCCGAACCCCCAGGAAGCACACCACAATCCAACCATCACTCCTCTCATGTGTACTGGAGACTGAGCTACTGTAAACTCCAGTGATACAGGAAACACAAGAATATAAGAAAATGCCTGGATAGTCTGTGGAATAAAGAGCAGTTTACCAAAGTTGTTTATGTCAAGATGAGACCTCTCAATGACAAATATGATCACTTTAAAAACTGTAACAATGAAAGCAAGGAAGATACTAACACTCATTCTAGTCAGCATACTCGGAATATACTTGTAGAAACAAACTCTGATAAAGAATAAATAAATAAATATCAGAATGACTGAACATAAAAAATACAGAGAGTCTGTTACTGCAAAGCAAGTTGGTAATGTAAAATTTTTAGAGGCAGACCAATAGGTATCATTACTGAGATTAAGTGCAATAAAACCAATGAATAATGGTAGCATACGAAATACTGTCTTCACATCTTCTACCTCTTCCTCTGTGAATGGTCCACCATATTTATCCTTACCCAGGTCTAGTCTTGAAGGAGCCTCTTCTTCCCAGTAGGTCAGAGCACTACGATTCTCAGGATACTTGTGCTTCCTGGCATAACACAATACTCTAACTATCAGATTGATTGGATTCTTGATCAGTGATATGTTCTCCAGTTTGTGTTTGAAGAATGAATGAGACACCAGTACAAGAGATACAGATACACCTGATGCTAAGAAAGTGATCATGATAAAATACTTACTACTATCAAATAAGCATTGAAGAAGGTAAAAGAGAAAGTGCATAAGTGGTTCAGATAGTATATACCAGTATATGACAGAATTGAGTTCATCAGCTGAAGCTCCAACAAGTTGATCAATGTTATACTGAATAATGTTAGCAGTGAAACTGGAAAAACCACTGAACTTAAAGAAATAAGCAAATCCATAAACACAGTAAAATATTGTTTGAGAAGTAAAGTAGCTGTCTAAAATAAATCCAATTCCTAATATAATCCATGATATGAAACACAATACTGTACCAATCAGTATAGCTTTGTATCTTCCAATCCATACATCAGCTAACAGGCCAAATAAAGGATAAAAGACATAACCAAAGCAAACCATGATAAAACCATACTTATACCACCAAGAAGGAAGAGCAAATTTAGTAGCAAATCCACCAGTGAAACGATTCACTAATATGTAATAATAATATACATGAGATACTTCCATACTAGAACCAAGACTGCTGGAGGAGTAATAAAAAGATAAGGTTGCCCCTTTTTAGTCTGCTGTGTAGCAATACAGGCCACCATAATTATTTATAGTACAAAAATACATAAACTCAAGGCTTTGATACATATAGAAAACAAAGTGTTTATTTTAAAAATTATACATTGAAAAAATAACTTTTGTTTCCATTTCAAAATTAACATACATGAATGCTATTGTAGTTTCAAGAGCAAAAAATATCATTTTTGCAAGTCAATGTGACAACTAAATTTTTAGTTCTTGAATCTCTGATAATGATCATCAACTATCTGAACAATATTAACTTCATTCTCTCTCACACAATACTTGTAACGTTTAGCCAGTATCACAAACACTATCAGTATGATAAGAATTAGCACACTCTGTTATAATAATAATAGAAACTAGTACATATATTGACTTTCACAATCAAATGGAAACTTCAACATGGCAATAATGAGGTAACCAATTCCCCAAGAAGCGTACCACAATCCAACCATCACTCCTCTCATGTGTACTGGAGACTGAGCTACTGTAAACTCCAGTGATACTGGAAACAATAAAATAAAAGAGAAGCCATGTAATATTTGTGGTAAAATCAGTTCATAATCAATAAATGAATTAGCAAAAAGTAGCTGAATTGGATTATAAATTATTAGCTTGACAACAGACACAGCAAAGGCTAGAAATACCCCAACACTCATTCTAGTCAACATACTGGGAATATACTTGTAGAGAAAGATGCGAATAAAAAAGAGATAGATTAGCATGAGACACAGGCAGCTTATATTGAATGGAAAGCGAGTGAATATGGTACACTGAGTCAAAAAATTATTGCTATAAGACCAGTTACAATTATCAGTACAAGAATAAGCAAGCACAGAAAGGATTAGAGGTAAGATAATACGAAGTACTATCTTTACATCCTCTACCTCTTCCTCTGTAAATGGTCCACCATATTTATCCTTACCCAGGTCTAGTCTTGAAGGAGCCTCTTCCTCCCAGTAGGTCAGAGCACTACAATTCTCAGGATATTTGTGCTTCCTGGCATAACACAATAC